GTCTCACTCTGTCGTCTAGACTGGAGTGCAGTGGTCGCTCCCGGCCACCGCAGCCTCGACCTGCTGCTCCGGCAATCCTTCCGCCTCAGCCTTCTGAGTAGCTGGAATTACAGGCATGCACTACCATGCCCAACTGATTTTTTGATTTATTGTAGAGATGAGGTCTCGCTGCCCACGCGGGTCTCGAACCCGCGGGCTCAGGCAATCCACTCATCTCAGCCTCCCAAAGGCGTGGGATTACAGGCTGAGCCACCGAGCCCGGCAATAGATGAGTTTTAAGACTAGCAGTAGCTAAGTGACGTATGTTGGTCTCATGATATTATACACAGCTGTATTCACCTTAATCTCAAAGATACATCTATCATTTGTTTCGTCAATCAAGGCTGTGGCTTGGTTTACTACAAAAGTAATGACATCAGATGGATAATCTATTACTTAACAACTTTATTTTATGCTGGTCACAAGGAACTTGTGAGGCAAACTTTTTAATAAAAATATCTGACAGGCTTTTCCATTAGAATAACAGTTTATGGCTATTCACATCTAATGTTGACATAACCCTGAAAAAGTTATAGTGTTTTTCACCAATTTTAGACGGGCTCCAAGAGAAGATAGATAACTTCACATTCCTTAAAAAAAAAAGTCTTCTCTCTTATATTCAATCAAATATTAGAAACTCTAAAATGCCAGGAGATATATAAATTTATGTTTTATTAGTAATGAATAGCTTCAATCACAATAACATATTTATAAAGAAATAAATAATTGCAAAATAGATATACCTGTTTTACACATTAGAGAAATAAAATATTTATCTTTTAAAAATATCCTGATATTGGTAATATATATAAACTTAGGTTATTGATATATTCTAATACATTTGAAAATGTATACACTAATGGCTCACTTAAATAAAAAACTTTTTATGGAAAAGAAATTCATTTAACATACATATTTTATTCCAAGGTCCTAAAATTCTAACATAGTAACAAGTGTTAATTTATCTAAAGTTTAATTTCTTTTTATGACTGTATGATCATAACATCAATAACAACTAACAAGGAATATACTTCTAATTTGATCGCAGTGGGTTAAATGGCTCATATTTTCTTTTTCTAATTTTTACTTGCAAAGAGATTGATGGCTTTAAAATTAGCACACTATTATCAACAGGGTGTACCACATGCATTCATTCCTCCTCTAGTACACAACGTCCCTGTGCCCTGCAAACAGGAACTGTAACCTCTATATGGACTACCGCCAAGACTTCCCCTTGAGGACTTTTGCTTTATCAGGAGTTCTGACTCTCAGGAGAAACCAACTTGAAGCATCAGTTATGATGGTCACTTGATGGTGTTTTTTAGAAACACGCAATTGCCAAAAAATAAAAACACATGTAACAAAAGAAAAGTCCAAAGGATGGAAAATTTCCTTTTGCACTCTGTCTAAAATGACCATCACTCTTAAGAGAATATCCCTGGTTATTCAGAAAAAATGCATTGTATTTTAATTTGTGGGGGAATGCTTTGTTCCCTGAGCAATGGCAATAAATAAACACTCATTTATAAGGTAAGACTGACCAAAAATGCTGGGTACAGAGTATAGTTATCTATTTCTTTATTTTTTTTTTTAATTAATTTTTTTTTTTTGAGTTGGAGTCGTACTCTGTCGCCCCGACTGGAGTGCAGTGGCCGCTCCCAGCACCCGCAGCCTCGACCTGCCAGGCTCCGGCGATCCTTCCGCCTCAGGCTTCCAAGTAGCTGGAACTACAGGGGTGTGCTACAACGCCTGGCTAATTTTTTGATTTATTGTAGAGATGAGGTCTCGCCAAGTTGCCCAGGCGGGTCTCGAACCCGTGGGCTCAGGCAATCCACTCACCTCAGCCTCCCAGAGCACAGGATTACAGGCTGAGCCTCCGAGCCCAGCAGTTACCTATTCTTTAAATGTTCTTGGCACTGACAACAATGGGTGCCTCTTCTGATCCTGATCAAGCGATACTGGTGTTTTTTGTTTAACTGTATATCAAGTGAAATGGTAACAGTAACGATAACAGCAATAATGCCTGAGTGCCTTCTATAAGTTAAGACCACTACCTTTTGGAGGTGTTAAAGTATCCATATTGCCACCTCACTGTAATCTGAACCCATTTCTTTTTTCACATAGAAAATTTAGATCGCAGCTGTCTGGATTAGGTCCACTTTGTGGCTCTAAAACAATACCTTGCTGGGGAACATGCTAGGAGACTTACATAGGAGCCTGCCGATGTATAAAAAACACAGATTGATACTTAATTCTAAAAAACAAAGATCACTAAAATCTAAAATATGTTCAGTTCATGACAAATCACTTTTCCTTAATTCAGAACAATGATAATTTTTTTCATAAATAATACAGTGCTAGTAAAAGAGCAAGGAAGGCATTCAGCCAAACCACACAGCCTTATTTTATTTTTAACCACTGCTTTTTCTTGCTGGAATCCTTTGGTACTTACCTTCATCCACTCCCAAACTATCCACTGAATACCATGAAAGCGACGAAAAAACATATCCCCCAGATTATTCTTCTGTAAAGAATATCTTTATAAAGACTCATTTTTCAGGTTCTTCTCCTATTCATTTTATTTTACTAGTCAAGATACACTATGGAAATGACACATTGGCCTGAAACAACCCTCATAAAGACTAGTTTTCGAAGGCTTTATGGAGGTCATCTGATAGGATAGGTTAAAAAAAAAAAAAAAGGTTTCAAAAAGTGTTTCCACATGTGGATGTTGTTGTAAACAAGCCTTAAAAAAAAAAGGAAAAAAAAACTGTCTGAGTGCAGTGGCTCAAGCCTGTAATCCCAGTACTTTGGGAGGCCTAGGTGTGGAGACTGCCTGAGCCCACAGGTTCGAAAACAGCCTGGGCAACTTGGCAAGACCTCTTCTCTACAATAAATCAAAAAATTAGTCAGGTGGTAGTGTGAACCTATAGTTTCGGCTACTTGGAAGGCTAAGGTGGAAAGATCGCCTGAGCCCAGCAGGTCGACGCTGGGGTGGCCTTGAGCGTGCCATTGCATTCCAGCCTGGACAATGGAGTGAGACTCCGACTCAAAAAAAAAAAAAAAACCCAAAAAACTGGTAATGCATTACAGTTAGCTCCTGGAGATCACAAATGCACAAAATATGCAACTTACAGAAATAATTTTTTTAAAGTACCACTTGAAGGCATAAGTGAGTTATTGGGGCTTGAGACATTTCCTAAGACAGCAACAATAAAAAGTGCTGTATCTAAACTCTTGGATGAAAGTAAAAATAATTTGTTCTGGAAAACTGGCAAATAACTCTAATTGTACTTTACAGATAACAGAACCACTAATATCAAAGGCACATGTGAAATGTTGAATGTTTTCATAAAATATAAGTAAAAAGAAATGAGGATCTCTAAATTAACATGAGACTATAAATATTCGCAACTCTATTAATGAATATGAGAAGAAGAAGTAAACTTTTGAGCACTTCATCTCCAACCCTCAAAATTTTTATCTTCCTATTGGTCCCCAAAACATTTTTGGATCTGCTCACTGATTGGGACCATGTTACAGAGTAGTCGTTTCTTTCTTTCTTTCTTTTTTTTTTTTTTCAGGTTGGCTGCTGTTAACCACATATTTTTAATAAAAAATTCAATAGCAGACCAAACAAATATCGAAACAGCTGCATTCAGCTAACATATCAAATGGCCTATTCAACATCTTTTCTTGAAAAGCAAATATACGAAACATGGAAATGCTTATCAGGTCTGAATTTTTTTTTAATATCACTTTCACAACCTACAAGTGTGTCTTCTGCAGTCTGTGTGCCTCTGGAACAACTATCAGACTATTAAATAACAATTTGACTTTATTTTTTATAAAATAAGATACATTATTTACCACAGCCCACATCAGTCTCTACCATAACATGTGGTATTAAGAGAGTTTGGTTCAGTTCTTTTCACTGGCTTTGATCAGAGTAGTCATTTCTATGGCTTCATTTTTAGGGGCAGAATAGGGAGTACTTCTTTTTTCAACTAAGTTTAGATTTCCCATCATTTCTTAATATAATGCACTTAAAATTAAAATTCTCCTTTCTAAAGGTTGAGCTTCCTCAAATTCAGTTTCAGAAATGTAGAGGTTATACAAATATAGTGAAATTGTTTCTGTGTGGAAGGAAGAAAAAGAGTAGCCTACATTCTAAAAATATGAGATAAAAAAAACATGCGATACCGTGTCAATAGATAGAACCATGCTGTAAAATACTCAGAATTCATCAATTTACTTGGTAAATAGCATCTGTCATGTAGGCGGTTAAATTGTTAGTCAGCACAAGGGAGTAATTTGGCAATGAGTGGAGAGCCACTGATCATACATTGGGATGTCTGGGTTACTCTACGTGTGCCAGAGCATAATTCAGCACAGAGCGTGTCTGCTCTGCTTTCAATCTAAGAGGTGAAGCTACTGAAGCACCAAGAGGAACTTCCCATAAGACAACGTCAACCGCAAAGTAGTCCCAGAGCTTGGGCTCTGGTCATTTTCACAGTGTGAAGTGCCAGTCAGATTTGCCATTGTGCCCAGAATGATGAACCATGTGTTCCCTACTGTGAAAACATTCAGCACGCAGAGCACAAAGCGGCTGAGAGTAAAGGGGAGTTAAATAACTGTCACTTGAGGTGACAGAAAAGCTTGACCAAAAATGCAATAAACAAAGAAGACATGACACTAATAACCCACAATATTTTGAAACCAAATGGACTAGCACATGATCCAATCAACATAAATTATTTGAAAAAAATATTTTTGTGAAAAATGTGCATTACGTGAAGGAAATTTCTCAAGTTTGCATCTTTTTTGCTATGACTCTATTTGAAGGAACACGATTGCTGTAGTATATATTCTTATACATATTATGCATTTTGCTTTCCCAGAAGACCATTTCAAAGCAGGAGATAAATAAAAATGAAGTAGAAAATGAAAATATTCTATACCTGAGAAATCCGCCGCTAAGAGGTCTACTGCTTTTAAAACCTTCACTTGCAAAATGCCGACATCCTTCACATCTTTCAGGGAGTTCTGTAAGCACTGGGGGTTGAATAGGAGATCATAAATGAAAACAGTTTTTAAATATACCATCGAATGTCATAAAGTTCTACAGGAAGTACATTCTAGATTTATTTTCCCCTTTCTCATGAAAATATTTAAAAAGTTTCAAAAACGCATTATGTCAGTCAACAGGACAGTTAGGCATTTATAGCCACCAGATTAAAAGAAAAATGACTGAGAATTAATTAACTACAACTTTAAAATAAACCAATTAGAAGCACATACAATCTACTTTTCACATCGCCCCCTGGTGATAGCATAGATATCCCACCAGGAAAATGCATGTGTAGAACTGCATTCATTCTCTTTTTTCCCCTTCTTTCTCTTTAACATAACTTTTAAATCACCCTAAAAGGCAACATTACTCTGATCTAGTTAGTATAAACTTTGTGAAAACCAGAAGACTACATGTGAACCCATCATAGATACTTATTACCACTGGAAGGAGAGTTGGGATGAAACAGTGAATTTTCTGGTCTAAGTTTTAACCAGTTCATTATATTAGAGATTCAGCATCTAGTAGCACCCTGTATTCATATTTACTTTAACTTTTAGGTCGCATGAGCCAAAGCCTGAATGTATCTACTGATTATTCTTAAGCATAAACGAAAATATTTGGATGTCTATATACATGGCGTCCTTAAGAAATCATGCATGAAAGCAATCAGCAGATAAAGTCCCTTCTCGTGCTTCCAGAACAAATCTACTGAAAAGGACGCTGCTTCAAAACCTTCAAATATCCTGTTTCTATCATCATTAGATGGCTAAGAACCTGTGATAAGCATCTCCCAGAGATTAACCAGAGGATAGGAAAATCTGTGTTTTTTAGATATTTCAGACGGAATAACAAAAGTTCAAAAATAGTTCAGGTTTGCCTAACCTAATATGTATCATACCTATAAACTTTCAGAAGATTTTCTCCTCCGTATTTTCAATCTAAATCAAACAAAAAACAAAACAACTACTTTTTAGCTAAGAGAAAGTATTTGAAATAAAAGTACATTTACAATTTAGAAGAAGAAATGCCTTTAAAGATTATCTATTCTTACAACCTAAAAACAAATCCAGGGGGCTGTAACTTGTGTTTTGTAACATAGCACTTGTTCCCTCTAATATGCTTGGCAGCTTGCTAGCTGAAAAAACACTCGATATTTCTATTTTGATTATAGCCTCTCCAAACCTCTTTTCAATTACTACTCTTCAAACCCTAAAGCATTACTCAAAGCAGTCATTATGATGTATCTAATGTTATTTTATAAATGCATAACACTCCCCATGAATTTGGTAAATTTTGTGATTTATCCACAGGAAAGCTTGGGGAAAAGTTTTACTTTTCACTGTCAAATTTTCATTTGTTTAATCAAAGTCATCAGAGAGAATATTATTAGTGAATTGTGTTGAACCTTCTTCAGAGTATGCCAACCTCACACACACAATCTGCAATGACAATGAGCGATGCAGCTAGGTATTGTACTCCCAAAGAGAAAGAATTATTCAATGAATCAATACACCTACACAGTGAAGGATTCTATAGACACTAACGTTTATGCAGAGAATGATAGTCATTGAATAGGGATTTATCTTTGCTTCATTTTCATGCCACTTTCCTAAAACATGCCTTCCCTGTGCGGCAATAAAATAAACGTATTGATTTACAAAGAAGACAGGATAAAAACAGAATGCAAATAAAGGCACCTAGAAAGCCAGAATACAAAAAATAAATGAAGAGGACACAGCCATTTGATTTTAAAATGCTGAGTGTACTGCTGAGTACATTGCAACTACTTAGGGAGAAATCATACACCACTATTCTCGAGAGTCGCACAGAATAGCAGTCATTCATGACTGTCTAGTGCCATTGCTTTACAAGGCACAAGCAGGTTCTCACTGGATTCTAAAAAGTTCTGCAAAGTATCTATAACATGACAAATATTAACGGTTGGCTAAAAAAAAAGTTACTTTTATGAACTTATATTAAAATTCCTATTTATATAAGCAGACATGCTAAATGAACATCTGCTTCCTTGAGGATTTCAGTGTTCTCCAAAGACTTCCTAAAAGCTAAAAATTCAAAATACCTTTTTTAGCTTTTAAAATAGCAAGGCAAACTCTAAGCCTATTTTCACCTTTTCATGAATGCATTAACCCCCTAGACCTGATGTCTTGTTTTATGACATACAATTAAACTTGAGACAAAGATCTCTTTTGATGCAGTTTTTCAATTCACAGACTTTGTTTCAGCAAAGACTTGGTTTTAGAAGAGGGGAGCAAAAGGAAAAGGGAATGGTGTAAGAAGCAAATCACTCACATATCGCTGGGAAATCTGCTTTCTTTCGCTGGGGTCTGCTAAGGGGCAGACACACAGGTCAGAGATGGAGACTCCCGCACAGGGAGTCAGTGTGACCAACATAAGGAGAACCCCCAGACAGCTATCCAGCGGCAACTCCAAGCAGTTGGCTTGCTTCAGAGGGAGTGCTGATATATCCACTTTACACCTAGAAAGTTTCAGGAATCAGAGAAATAAAACTGATTAACTCGAGGCCACTGTGGAACCTCTAAAACACCTGGTTTTTATTTCATTGTCCCCAAAACCTCACTCTGGTTGAGCCCGCATCTATTGAGCAGTGCAGGTTGTAGGGACTCCCCTGGCTCGTAATATTCACTCCCAGCCTAAAATAGTCTAAAATTAAGGAGAGAAAGAGACACAGAAAATCAAAGAGAAGGCAGCATCAGGGGATGGCAAATGAAGAGAAAGGAATCGGGTCTTTGCCAAATAAGGTCTGCAGAAAGACAATAGGATCAAGAATTAGAGAAAAAAAAAAGTCTCAAAGTTTAAGCATTATGGGTTGGTGCTCTGTGTGGCTTCCCTAGGCTGTGACTCTTACGAGTAAAGAGAATGAAGGATCATGGTTCAAAAAATGAAGCAAAGTGGGAGAGTGTCAACGGAGAAGCCATTTTCTTCCTGATTAATATCAACTGGCGTTTTATTTAAAAAAAACATGTTAAGGTGTTTTCCTAATAGGCACAGTTCTATAGGGTTTCCCCAGGTGGGTTTCTTTTGGACAAATGGAGCATGAAGTGCTGTTGATTGATCCCATTTCAGCAGCACTGCCAGGAAAGGCTGTACCCATCTGCTATAAATTGCATGTTTTCTGCCTCTTAACAGCCAATGTTCTGGGGATGTTGAAAACCTCAAACACATTTAAATACAGAAGCAAACACCAAAACTGAGGGCTGAGGTGCTAAGCCATTGACATGCTGTAACACTGACAACTCTGGGTTTGCCTGGACCACACCTGCTATGTTTATATAGGCAGGTGGGTGAAGTCAGCAGGTTTGAGAGGAGGCAGGAGGGTTGGCATGGTAGTTCCTAGATATCATTTTTAAAAAATTCTCACTTACCCTCCATAATTATACAATAAGATTAACATTCAATATTTCAGAAAAGAAAGAAAGCACTGCTTCCCACATAGAGTGATAAGGATGGACACAGTGAACTATGTATGTTTGCAGATAATTACAAATAGGTAAACTTACATAATATATAAAGTAGTGACAATTTTGAGCCACATGGCTATGTGGAAAAAAGTTTCAGTTTACTAAATTTGAGGAAAAGCTTGTAATCACCTTTCCAATTATGAAGAAAAATAATTATATTAAAATCTACATCAAATATTATTACAAGAGCAAAAATATTTTACATACCAATATGTGCCTATAAAATAAAATATGCAGGGAGATTTATTTCCTGTTTACCAAAAGTGACTCCTTTTACAGGGAAAAGTGGCCATTAAAGCTTTTGCACGAAATAAGCTCATCAAGTTATTCTACCAGAAACATATATTTTTTTTAAGTTTTAAAATAAAGTTTATTAGAGAAAGAAGAGATGAAAGAAAGGAAGACACGCCAGAGTTAGCAAGGGTGAGAGAAACTGCCTAGAAACAGATTACAAAATAAAGTTTTTAAATAATCCTCCATGATTTTAATCAAAACAATTATTTTTGTAAAGAAACTTATAAAGTTAAGTTTATATTAACTGTAAAAAGAGAGGTTCTTAAATATTTTTATTTATTTCATGAGCAATTATGCAAGAGAAAATCAAATTTGCTTGGAAAGAAAGAAATGTCAACTGCTTTAACTATGCCATTTTTACAAAAAAAAGTACCCACCTATTCTTAACCAGTATTGCGGTTTTATATCTGCTTAGGAAGACTTTGCTAAGCACTATTTTACATTGTTATACACAGTACTCTTAAATGTGAATGATCCGAATGTGTTAAAAACTTTCTCTGCTAGTCACTTTATTCCAAATTAGCAATAACCTACTTACGGCACATGTTTAAAATATTATTAACAATGGTAATTATTTTTGGCAGTTATTTTACCTTCTTTGCTGTGGTGGTGGTTTTATTTGTTTGTTGGACAGTCAAAAGTTGTTTAAAGACAAGTGCTCTGAGAGTTAATAGTTTAAGGATTAGAAATAATGCATAGGTAGGCAATAATATAATTTTTTCTTGAGGTATTCAAAATGGACATGACATTAATTCTAAAAAGTAATCTAATCATGTTGTGGGCAATATTAATATAGTTAAAATACTTTGCAAGCTCTCCTAGTGACTTTACATGCACAACTTACTGAAACAGAGCAGTTAGCTATCTCAAACAAAAGCTGAGCCACATACCAGATGAAATGCAGAGTAAATATTGGGTTTATTCCCTCAGAAATTGCATATTTTCACAAACTTTTCAGTCATTTCTACTCTCTGTGAATGTGTTACACTTATGTCACTTTTTAATTTTAAAGATGTGGGGTACAATTCAGGGCTAGGAATACAAATGTTCATTATGCAGGTGCCCTTGTGGATGAGGTGTGCCCCGGCTCCCCTTGTAAGTTTCCCACTATGCCAATCCCACCCCTGTCCTCCCCTGGCAGTTTCCACTCATGTCATTTTTAAAGATTATTTTGTTAGCCAGGAAGGAACACTTTCATGCAAAATAGCCATGGCCAGATTAGATATCAGAGCCTCATAAGCAACAGGTTGAGGATTCGGCATCAGCAAAATGGACTCTATATCCTTTATTAGCTAATAAGTGAATTCAGTCAAATAGTCACTTTTACTTTCGCAGTGACTTGAAAGAACAGATTAAATTGCTACATCAGCATCATGTCAATCAAAATTAAAAACTGGTCTTTTAGCACATGGGTTATAACCCAGCTTCTTAAGGGTTCTTGACCCACCATGTGAATTGATGTCTTAAGAATTAATTTAAAGCTACCCGATTAGCTCCTCTATAAAGATCGATTTCTATAAACTTTCTGTATCTCTTCTACTCACCTAGCGTCCCCATTTATTCTTATGCTCAAGAGGAAAGAGGGAAAGATGGATGGAAGAAGAAATGTATCACATACAAAACCACCTTCTTCAGGCCTGTTTTAACCTATCTCATCCTCAGTCTACATAAAGCTTGAAGGAGAACTAGAAGCTCTGGAAATTAGCCAGAGACTGAAATAATTATTTGCATTAGCCCCATGCTAGGAAGGGTCTACTGTGTTATCAGCAAAAGGAGCAGAATACAGACATACATATACATATGTATATGTGTGTGTGTGTGTGTGTGTGTGTGTGTGTGTATGTACTTTTTTTTTAAATAAAAAGGCCATTTTTTTTTCTGAATTGTAGATACATTTACCACTCTATCCAACATTCTGAAAGAGAGGTATCAAATGAGCAAAATGGCCTTTTGTGGCATTTCTTAGGTTCAAGCAAAGATACATGCACTAGAATCTAAAATCTTCAAGATATTAACATTCTAGAATATATCTATCAAAGACATCTTTAATATGAAAAATCTTGAAAGGAGAATCCAGACTTCTTTTTTTTCCCATTTTCCATTGGTGTACCAGAGTCTTCTCTGAGAAAATACTAAATAATTTGGTTTGTATCTTACATCTTTCTAGTTTCCACTAACAAATTGCAAAACTTCTGCTCTTTTTCAGGACTTTCTGTCATCTCTTTAGCTATCTGTTATGGGCAGGGTATGGGATTATCTCATACCTAGACAATTATTTTTTTCTGTGAAGGCCAAAACGTAAATATTTTTGGTTTGTGGGCCATACAGTTTCTGTTGCAACTACTCAACTCTGCCCTTGTAGCAGGAGAGCAGTTATAGACAAATAACTGATTGTTTCCCAGTAAAACTTAATTTACAAAAATAGGCAGCCATCCGGATTTGACCCATGGGTCCTGGTTTGCCAGTCTCTGACCTACAGAAATGCCAATAATTTAGCATTTCTTGGGGGTGAAAAACACCAAGAAAAGCTTTTTTTTTTTTTAACTTACAAGGTTGGTTGCAGATTACACAAACACAATGATGAAAGTATCCAAGGTATTACCCTAAGAATAATTTCTTAAAAATAGATTTGTTTGTTTTTTTGAGCTGGCATCTCACTCTGTTGCCCAGGCTAGAGTGCAGAGGCATGATCACAGCTCACTGCAGCCTCCAACTCGGGCTCACGCGATCCTCCTGCGTCAGCCTCCTGAGTAGCTGGGACTTCAGGCATGTGCCACCATGCCGGGCTAATTTCCTTTTTCATATTACTTTCCATAGAGACGAGGTCTCACTATGTTGCCTAGGCTGGTCTTGAACTCCTGGGCTCAAGTGATCCTCCTGTCTTGACTTCCCAAAGTGCTGGGATTACAGGCATGAACCACTGTACCTGGCCAATTTTCAAAAAAAAAATTTTTTTCAACTCACTCACCACAACCCAAGAAACTCTGGCCAAAGAGAGCCAATGATTTGTTTGTTAATAAAAACTGATAAAGCAATAAAATATATAAAGTTGTTCTGTCTAAAAGAAACAAGATAGAAAATGCACACTCAGAGCATCTATATAAGAAACTCAATTAATGAACATTAAACAGGTCTGTTCCTGTGGGATCATGTGTGACTTCACATGCAAGGGACTAACCATGTTAGGACAGTCATTCAGAAGGTACAACACACTGGCCCTTAGGTGACTAGGACATCAAAAGAGCCCTTTAACATCAGCTCTTAGAAAATTCAGTCCATAGGAGCTCCACTGTGATAACAAGATTTACATCATGGAAATAATAATAGCCAAGTCACTGTTGTATTTATGTCTAGAGAGGAGCCGCCGTCATTCATTTGTGGGAGGTGGAACACAATGGCTTTGTAACTCCGCGTCTACCTTTTTCTCTAGTCTCATCACGTAACATCACACATCTTGTCAACCCTGTCAAGGTTCTCAGAGAGAATGTGCTCTCTCTCTTCTCTAGGCCTTTGCCGGTGTTGTGCTGTCTTCCTGGAAAGCTCTTCGTCTCATCTCCTTGTTAGGCTAACTACCATTCACCTACAGTTCTCAGTTAGACTTCTGGTCTTCTAGGAAGCCATCCACTTTCACCCTCTGCCCAAGTTGGTTTTCATGATGCCAGGACCCACAGCCCTCACTCCGCTGCCTGCTTGCTGGTAATAGCCCAAGACTCATCAGCGCCCAAGGACAGCAACCTTTTCTGTATACTTGACTGAATCCTCTGCATTTTGCAGCCTAGCCAACAAACAATGCACAAACGAATGCCAGTGGCATAATGAAACTCATAAAGTAAAAATCAAAAAACCCAAATTATAAAGTCAGCTTTAGTTGACTGACTAAATCTTCTGCAGTGTCTATTTCTTCCCCTATGTAAGAAAGGAATTGAAATAATTATATTTACTAGGTGCCTCCCAGATTAAATATTCCATAGTTCTACTGACCTGAAGAAAACAGAAACCAAATTACTTTTTTGTTTCCTTTCCCGCATAGGAATATATTAAAGCTATCCTCTAGCCCACAGGCAGTTAATGTGCTGATTTAGCATTGTTTCTGACCTCCCATTCTTGTCTTTCTCCATTAATCCTGCAGCATTTTAATGTTTTAATTCAGCACATAATTTTACCCTATCAGTCAGCCAAACCTGCTCAAGTTTTACTTGCCATGATAGCTTTTAACCTTTTATTCATTACCATAATTCTATGTTTTATATTACAGACTGGTCAGCTTTTAACTTAAAGGCAAGGGGCAGAAAAGAGTGCTAGAGTTTTAAAAGCTGTAAATCTCAGAGGCTAAGGAAGCAGGGGAACAGGAGGAAAACGGCGAATGTGTCAAGCCTGGCTGTAAAAGCAGATCAACGACGTGGGGTGCAATTTGTCCAGAGAAATACTCCAGCCCAGATTTTTCACTGCCTCAGAGCCACTAATAAACTGGTAGAATGTCAGAGCCACTTTACAAGGCACCATCTGGGACTGAGGAGGGACTCAGGGGCAGGCTAGTCAAAATGTGCTTGTGGATTCTCATTCTTACCCTTTTCAAACTAAATTAAGTCTAGAATACCCCATAACAAGTTAATCTCCAGAATCACCTTGAAATGTAAAATAGACTTAAGAAATTGATATGATTACTTTGAAATGGCTCACATTGAAATAATGTAAATTCATACTCTTGACATTTTGTTTAAAAGTTGGATCAGGTTAAACTTAGCTTTATGTCTTACTCTTCCTAAAAGCTCCGTGTCCCTGTCTAAGATCAGATGCTGTCTTTGTTTCTTTTGCCCATGAGCAAACACCAGGGTAAGTAGGCAACACGGTCTCAGGTAATGCTGGATCTTATACAATCACCTTCATCTCACCAGCCCCAATCTCTTCCGGAGTTACTTGAGGCTCTGCAGGAGCCTAAAGTAGACAGACTATGGCTCAAGGGAAGTTGACAAATTCTACATGACTCAGTAGAGCTTGGGGGAGGCTGTCTGCTGGGTAGGGCCTTGGTTTAACCATCGCTGAGCTAACAGCCTACCAAGGTCAACGTGATTTCTCCTCACTTAACCAACCATTGCTACCGCCTTGTCATTCATGGCTACAGAATCCCAGTATTATTCAGGCGAATCTATATTGCTCAATCCTTCCATCAATGGATGTGATCTTGACATGTCCTAGAAGAGGGTCACTGCTCCCTTCTACCAAGAAAACAAAAACAAAAACAAAAATCTATTGTTTGGGAAAAAAAATGCTGAATTTTACTAGTCACATTTCATGGACTTAAACGGCATAATTTTCGTTTCAACTTTGTGGGAATCTACAGTTGCCATGCAGAAAAATCTCAAAATTAATTATAATAATACCTACCATTTGAGAGCTCAAAAAAGTAAAGAATGTCAAATCAACATTGTTACTGTTAGCCATGATGACACTGCAATGAGAGTAGTGAACCCATTTTACAGAGAGAGAGCCAGACTCCACAAGAAATCTGCACTTCAAGTCACACAGCTGGCAAACGTTGTGGGTACCAGCAAGACCCGGATATGTGATCCCCAAACTGGGGTTCTTTTCCTCCCACTGAACTGCCTACAATGGGAAGCTTCCCTCAAGAGAATTTCCACAGAAAGGCCACCTAGAGCTTTAACTCTGATGTTAAGTTATGAACATCAAGGTGTTATCCAAATAAATTACGAGGCAAGCCTTAGGAAGCAGCTAGGATTCATTCACACTGTTGGAGAGCCTTCTGATACAAAAAAGTATCCCAACAGGGGAAAGATAAAATAGCTGAGACTCAGAATGAAGACCACAATGAAAAGAAAATGTGAAAAAAGTTGAAATATTTTAAAAATAACTAATAACAAGGAACCATAAATAACACATTAGTGATGTGCACATGCTGGCACAGTCTTTCCTTTAAGTGTGAGAAGTGTCCACATTTTAGAGTAGTTTTGCCCACCTGCAAGTTCGCTGCAGGGTAAGGCAGCAGAATCAGCTCCCAAGAGATACTTTTGTTATCTTTTGTACTACAGGAGAGGAAAAAGGAAAAGGATACCAAAAAAAAATTCTTTAAAACCCATGAAGAGGAAGAACAGAATGACCACTAAAACAGGTACACATCTTGGTTACAAACAGGAAATAGTTAAAATAATAAATGAACACCCATATGACAAACCATGGACTACAAGGGACATCTTAAATCATATTTTGTCTCTGTGAAGAAACCCAGCACTCATTTAGAAAAGCGTTTCCTATTAAGTGAAGGAAACATGACAGCACAATGACATGTGAAATGCAAGGGCATTATTCTTTGCACCTACTAAAATAACACACTGACCATTCATCATATAAGGCCCAAATTCCCACTGTTCAGATAACACTTTGGGACACAGAGTCCTCTGCATTTGCGTAACTTATCTTTGCTCCCCAGGCTAGCACATAGTTTCAGATCCTCCTACCATTAATCTGGGGGGGTGGGCGCGGCCCTGGTATGTCACAGTGGTGGCAGTGTCAGAGGTACTGAGAAGTATCCGAGGTGTCTCAGTTACCTTGTGTGGGTGGAGGAGGGAGAGAAGGAGAGACAAGGCCACACCAGTAATTTGACAGGCCATGGCTGTGAAATGCTGGACCACAGGAAGACTTCCTGCGTGTGATGGAGAGCAAGTGTACATACAATTGTCTGAGTGTTTGGGGAAAGTTACTGCCATCAGGCAGCTGAGAGCCAGGCTTGCTAAACATCCTGCAGTATGTTTCCGGCAACAGTGTACCCCTACTAGGAAACATGGAAGAAATGGAGGAATGTTCCACCGGTACTGAACTACCCACCCATCTATCTCAGGACACTGAAGTGGGATGAGGTGATGGTGTCGAGCAGACAGATGGTGTGCTAAGTATCATACATAGAAAAAGCACTGCACGAGGTATGGGGTCAACTGGGTCTCATTCCATTTCTGCCTCTAAAGTCCTTGCTATGGAAAAACATTTCACCTCCCTGGGCCTCTGCATTTTCTCCTCTATAAAATGAAGAGACTATACTAGATAAGTGATTTTCAACCTTTTACTTTCAGTGATAAGACCCTTCCTTCAAATGGAAACCCAATATAGAGCACAGGCAAAGGTTGAGATGCTCTGGCCGCAGAGAAGAGGTGATAGGAGGCCCTCCCATCCTCCAAGGGGTGACCCCAGGGCATCCTCTTAATCCAAGTTCCAGGTTGAGAAGAGATGATCGTCAGCTGTTGGAATCGCTTTAAACATTTGTGTTCTAAATGTAATATTTGTCTATAAATTTTATTGATATGAGATGAACAAAAGGCAGTGGTTTGATGGAAAAAAAACTTGGTCTTTGAAAACAGAATCCCGATTCTTAGACTCATTGTTCTTAAGGCTGTGGCCAAGTCATGTGCAAAAGTTTTTGAGCTCCACTGTCTCATCTATAAAATAAGCATGATGTTACTAACTCACAAGGCTATTCTAAAGATCAGAGATGACCTGAGCTTCTGCCAGCATTAGCTTCGTGCTTGTTATGAACTAGTCACAGTCCATGTACTGCCTCATGTCATGGTATTCTTCACTATAACCCTAGGAAGAAGCTATAATATGTATATTATTGTTGTTATGTATGGGCGATGTCTCAATTAAGTTGGGAAGATTCAAAGCAAGAACTAAATAAAAGATATTTGGCCGCAAAAGATTCCATTATAGTTTGCTACAAACTACACTGAGAACACTGGAGAGTTTCCATCATGGGGGACACCTAGCCTTATATTTTTAAAAACGTATCTGATATTTCACTGAGTAACAAAACCAAAATTATAGGGGATATTAATGTATATAAGCATGCCCCAAATAGTCTGAGATGGCACGATAGCTTTCTTTGGAGAATTCCTGACACACGCTATTTTGTTTTGTTTTAATCAATAGAAGAACAGTGACCAATCAAAAAAAATAAAAACAAAACCAAAAGCAAACATTTCCCTCATTAGATTTGGCCATCTGGTTTACCAATATCTCCTTGGGAGATATGAGCTAGTACCCTCAGCCCTAACAGATAAAGACAGTCTCCCAAAACCAGCCCCATGCAGAAACAAGCTCCCATCCCTGGGAAAGCAGAGGGAACTCACGTGTCCAGACGTTCCTCATGCTTTTTGCTGTCCTTTCCCCACACTTCAATGTCCAAAATGCCCATCCTGTCAGAGAAGTAGTGAAAGTCAAACTGTTCCTGCCACTGCGGATTTGCACTCTTACACAGTGTCTAGAAAACATGCAGTTATAATATTTATTTTCTTAAAATGTCATTCATTTCTACAGAACTACACATTAATTTCAATTCTAAAATGCAGGCAATCATGAAGCTGCACCTCACCCATCATGAAGTCAAACTTTCCTTTATGGAATGAAAAGAGCTTGGAGAGTTTAGAAATTGGCAAAACATTACTACTCTTTTAGTTGGCCCCCAGATTCAATAACTTATCCACAAACAATATTAAAAACAGTAATACTGTTACCTTCCAAAAGACCATAAATTAGATAAATTCATGCACATACACATATACACAGTGAACATATATCAATAGATGCTTTGTAACTGTTCTCTCTTACAGAAGATAACCCTAATTGGTTAATCAAATGCAAGCAACATTTTTGTTGGCAATTCAGTGCTGCTTAAGAACTATATAAATTAATAGTTTGAGGACTTAATTAACATCTGTCAGACGCATTAAATAAGAAACCCATAACTTGTACATCGCCACCTATTTTTAAATCTGAAATTACTGAATCTAGTCACTAGAGTTTGAGGAAGGCTAGAAAATTTCACTGCAGCCAAACCTAAAAATTAACAAGAGTGGTTTTCTGTGTTCTCTAAAAGGGATTTCAAACCGCTTATTTGGTTCATTGGCAGGATTTTCATTTTTGTTTCATTTACATAGTGATTCAATTTGTGGATAAAAAGTGAGCAAAAATGTTAGTCCCTGAGGATCAGGCTCAAAGGGTACAGTATCAGCTATTAAATCCTAGCACCAACTCTTCCTGCATGAGAAAAACATGGGCATCTCAGACCTCAGCTGTAGCCAATGTCACGTAAAATCATTTAAACTGTTTTTCACATCAGGCTTAATATATCAGATCACAGAATTTAGAAACCAAGGGGAGGGAGGAACCTATTAAACCACAAATTAAATGCAGTATTCCCCAAAGGGGAATGCAGCAGTTATTGGACTAATTCTATACTTCACCTTAGTCCAAAGGCCTAAGTGTGCTTAGTGATGAATAATTTTTCCATAAATCCTTAGCCTGACCCTGGCCGGCTAAAGAAATCTTAGTAGAGAGTTGTGGTTACCCTGGATACACTCACTGTAAGGTACAGCCTGAAATTACCTGGTTAAAATAATTATCTGCATATTTCTGTCATAACTTGCCCCCAATTTTTCACATTTTTTAATAAACTGTTCTTCAACATGAGCCTCAATTCTCTACTCCTTTGTGCTGGGGTAAATGACATCTAATATTTGATTTTGCACTGAAAATTGTGCAGCGCAGACAACCTCTTGCCTCCCTAAATCATTTTCCAACTTGTCTGTTTCTCAATGTCCTCGATGCTGGAAAGCCTGAACTGCAAATATCCTTGGGTCTATTTTCAAGACCTTCCACTGATTTTTTTTTTTCCTATGTGGCTTTTGGCAAGTGATTTAACTTTCAAGTACCCAGCTCCCTCAATCCATAAAACATAGGAAATATTCCTGTCTGACAGTTATGTAAAACTAATTAATTACCATGGTCTGGAGACTAAGATTTTTGAAATAAAATCCACACCAAATTACTAAGATTAAAAATTAAATGGAATTTGGATAGGTAGAGTAACACAAGTTATTTTTAAAAACAACTTAAAATGCCTTTTTTTTGCTTAGAACAAATCACTTGTAATACTTTATTTTTTTAAATCACAGCAAAATACAGCAGCACTAGATATCTATTTTTGCTGCTAAGGCTAGCAAGTAAGAGGAACAATGGGTATATAATTTTGAAGTTGTGTTTAGTTATCTCAAAAATTTTAATAAAAATATCATGTATTACCTATTTTACTTTTGTAGTATTTTGAAAATATTTGGTTATACTTTTCCCGCATTCTATGAAACATAGTTTGCTTATTTTCAAAATGAAAATAAATCATGCATTCAAATCTCTGATTTAACAAGCTTTCTCTGGCTCCAAGAAAATAAATTATACTAAGCCATCAAAACAATACCCATATTAATTGACGGCATCTATACAATTAGTTTGTATTCTGGGATTCCCCTTAATATAATTAGGAGGACTAAACATAAATTACTTCTATTGTTAAATTTAGAGTGAAAAAACAAGTTTTTATATTTTTATTCTTTAAGATACTGTTCTTCTTACAGAATTAATAGAACTTACCTTACTTTTATACCTCTGATCTCCCAGTTTTAACTGGACAAACATCTCTGTCATGCTTCCTCCTGAGACATTCTTCCCTTCCAACAGAGTTATACTTATAATCCCGTTCCAGAGTTGGTTTTTTCTCAAGGACTCTGAGAGCCGTAGGCTGCGTATCAAAGAGGACTAAAGCAAAAATAAAGATGAAAGACATATAAACTTGCTGATAATTCTTAACAGTTACTTTGTGATCACAGGAATTCTAGCTTTCAATATTTGATTATAAAAATCACTCCCTGCCTGGTAAAAAGTGTTATTCTTCATTGGTTTCGCAAACCTGCAATCACAGTTATGTGCATTCCTTCTCAAGCTTTGGACTTGGAATAATATAGCGAAGGATGAATATAAGCAATGCTTTGATTTGGCACTGGCCTGTACTCCCACCCAGATGTGCTCTTTGGTAGAGAATCTTAAACTGGGCCTTCAGCTATTTTAATAGTGCAAAAGGAAGAAAAGCATTTTGGGAAACAGAGATATAAGAACAAGGCATTGCTTTGCAGGGAAACAAAATACCTCTGGGCATTTAGAAATGACGACTTTGAATTTATCCTTCACATTTGAATCTGTCCCCACTTCCTTTTCTTCCTTGGTCTACTCAAGCCCTATACCACTGTGAGATTCACAACTCCAAATACAGCCTGTAGTGGCCTAGACAGCCAAATGAGCTTTGCAGATCTGACCGTGGTGCAGAGAGGGAGTCTTTTGAAATACACCTCACAGACTCTGGGACCCAGTAGGAGTTCAGTAACTGTTAACTTTTTTTTCCTTTCCTAAATTATATTACTCACATACACTCATATACACCTTATAGAATAAAGGCAAACATCCTCTGTTATTAAATTATAAAGAGAATAGCCACACTTTATTTATTTTTAATTTCCATTATATAAACCTGCAAACTTACAGAAGGTAAAGAGAATAGTATAATACATCTCCAAGTACTTAGTCACCAGAGTCAATGTTTTGCCAATCTTATTTCACTTATCCCTTTATTATTTTTTTCTGGCTGAAATAATTTAAAGCAAAATTTATATTTGCTTTTATACAACCATTATGCCATGATCACACTTAACAAAATTAACTAAAATGTATTCAATACCATTAAATACCCTGGGAATATCCAGGCATATTCACATTTCCCTGATGGTCTCAACCACATATCTTTACGGTTCATTCCTTTGAGTTAGGATCCCCTTGTGCTCCACATGCTGCATGTAGCTGGTGGAGTTCATTTACGTTGTCCGTTCGATAAGTGAAATGGCACAAGCACAGCCTTCTTTATTTGAACAAGAGAAATAAATGGGCTGAAGAATGTAAATGGCGCTGAGCATCATAGTAAAGCAATGAATTTCTAACTATATATTCATTCTTGTCATCCACTCACTATATCTTCCAGATCATTTCGACACCAATTTGCTCGGACACCAGTTAGTCATAATTTATCACAACAAATGGTATGTCAGGACTGTATTAATTATATACCAGCTTACATCATCAAACCCACATCATACCACCAACCTTAATAAATGATGCAACAATGCCACACCAGGCATTTGTTGATCATTTATGGCAACCTTAAACAAAATTCATTTAAGAAAATATATATTCTCAAACTCCATAACAATGTTGCTCTTCTCTAGAAACACACACACGTGGGGGGGGGGGCGCGTTGCGGAGAGAGAGAGAGAGATTTTTTTTGGAGGTGCTGAGATAAAGCAGGGCAAATGTAGAAAGAATTTAAAATAGAAAACAATGTTCAACAGTGAAGTCTTACAAAATAGTTAAAATTAAGTGATGTTATATTTGTTAAAAACAACACACACCATCACAATATATAGACAGACATGTATATGTACAGGTGTAGATATTTATAGATATCTATAGATGTAGATATACCTAACACATTTTATTGCCTATTAAGTACATGGGCTGAAAACTTCCACTTTTAAAACAAAAATGAGATTTTGATTCATGTATCCTGCTACAATTCCTCCTTTTATTTTTTTTCCTTCTTAAAGTTTGACTTGCCAACCAACAAGCTAAAGCATGACCTGTCCCACGGCCATGCTTCAAAGTTCCGACAGATATATTCCTCCCCAAACACTGCAACTATTTCAAAATCCTTTTTATAAAAAAAAAGGAGTAATGTCCACAAAGGATCAAAGGGCATCCTACAGTCTGGCAACTGCCTAAGAAAAATGGAAGCACTTCCATGAAATATGCCCTAAAATAATTTTGTGGCTTGGTATGTCCTAATTTCAAATTGGATGTTTATCTTGGAAAGGCTTCTATCTAACTTGTCCATAAAACAGCCCCACTTAGCTCTATGAGCTCTGTGAAAATGGAATCCAAAGCTGGTTATTAAGGGGGCCTAGAGATCGGTTCCATATGGCGGAACAGCATGGGAGGGCAAAGCTGAGGCCCGTATCAGGCGCGGCTTGGCTGGAGCTCCTGATCTATCCACGGACACTCGTTGCATTACACTATAACATCTGGATTATTGCTTGTAATGTCCCTGGGAAATATCCACTTTCCATCAAAGCTTTTATCTATCTCAGTCGGACTTTGAACATTTTAGTATTTAACGCAGTCATGTTTGATCTGATGGACTTGCTCTTAGCTGTCGAAGATTTCCTCCCCCTCCTAAAGGCAGAGTAAAAGATTTATTGCAGAGTTCATAGATAGAAAAGGGCACAAGACCTTTATTCTACTTATTTCATCCTAACTATTTCTGCAAAACCTTCTATAAGGTTATCTCCCAAATAAATTTTCATCTGTGAGCCACACATTCTGGGGGGTATGCGTGTGCTTTAAAGAAGTTTCTTAATTACTTTAACATTTCTCTTCTACCCTTGACAGGCTTGATGAGGCTTGGGAGCAGAGCGTCTGCCATTGGGGGCAGGACCTGGACCATCCTATGCCTGCTCTCTTGAAGAGCTGGGCTCTCAAAATCTTTTGTGCTCTTCAAACACTCTCTTCTTCCCCAACGATAAATCGACTCATCTGCACTCACTCAGTTAGCTGAATAGCTTAGGTTTTCATGTCTGTGCCTGAGTCCATAAGTGAAATTTGTCATCTTAATGCAGCCTGGAATGTGAAAGGCAAGAAGGAAATGACCCATCAAAGGGGAAGCCCACCCCACCTGAACTGAAACAAACACCAGGAGATAGCACAAAGTTTCTAGGTCCTGACCCTAATTCCTCAGCAGACGTAACGGATAAAATATAGTGCTTCAGGGTTTTGTTATTTCTCTCCTTCCTCCCAAAGGATCAGAACCTTTTACTATTTCTACATTGATTCATTCATCTCCTCTTTCTTCCTCAGTCCACAGCATCAAATCCCCACCACTCATTCACCAAAAACAGAGAAGATGACGTCCATCCATCTAAAGCACACATATTAGTTATTAACAGTGAAAACATGGTGTGACATTCAACATAGAAACATTGGCTTTTGAAAAGGTGAAACGGCTTTGAAAATATTAATTTAATTCTGGATCACAGCAATTACAGAACCAAGATTGAAATAATACACAGTGGACTCAAATAGGTGGGGAATCCTCAGAAGTTTCTGATCTAGGAATAGACTCTCAAATAGTGAACAGACGGTCATTCCTGGGGCATATAAAATGGATTAGATTTGGTGACATGCACTATTAGAGGATTTTGGCCTAGGGGCATGCTAGGAGACAGTGACATGAATTCCAGTGTCTAGTTTCCTTGGCATGGCTGCAAAAAAAACCCCAGGGATGAGGGACAAGTCACCTCAGTGCCTCCTATGTGTCCTGAGCCAGGAAGAGTGGCAGAGAGGTCGGAAGGAAAGAAATCCTGAATGGAGTCAGGAGCTGGGGCACCAGCCTGAAACCATCAAAAGCAAGGTTACATTCAGCTATGCTGCAATCCAGAACTGTCTATGCTGACCAATACCCATGGGGTAATTATCCAAAATACTCTCTTGAATATAAGAAAATTCCAAAAAGGGGAAGCAGTAAGAAAAAGTACTGATGGAGCATATTTATCAAGTGCCAAACACCATAAGCATAATTTATATATCATCTCAGTGACAGAAGTATAAAAATATCAGTGTTCCAATGTTGTCAAAGCATCCTATTTTGATGCCTATTAATTATTTTTCCTAAATCATTGTGAGAAATGTACTAGTCAATGGAAACAAACACATTTTAAAAAATCAGTACCAAAAAATAAAATAAAATAATGAATAGTAAACTTCAGATTCCAACTAGATTGACCACTACATTGAAAAGCTAAGAGGAAACATTCAGTCCATAAAAAGGTTCCACCAAAGTATTCCTTTCAAGCTTTTTCAACATGTACAACTACTGTTTCTTGTCAACAGCTTTTACAGCATGGCGTGAGAAGTACCATGCATCCGTGGACCAGGCTCCCAGGAAAGTTCCCACTCGGCAGTGCCCTATATCAACTGAAGAGGATCCAGGAATCATAAATTCTCCTAGAACTACACAGAATTCTCTGCATAAGAATATAAAGAAAATATTTTCCGTTTCCCACATGCACACGTATATGGAAGATAAGAATTATATTTGTAGATGAAAACTATATCATAGTTCCAAGGACATGGATAATCTGTGTGTACAAATACATTAGCTATAAAAGTGTTGCCTTAAATTTGTATTTTTAAATTATAAGGGGATATCATTACTCAACTTTTGCACCTAAAAATAAAAGTTAGATTAAGAGAAAAATTGAAAAAACAGTTAAAGACTATAAATACTCAATGACTCTGAGTTTAGGACTAGAAAAATGATTTTAATGCATTCCCTACTATTAAAAAAAATGAATAGCAAAAAATGTAGGCCATCTGGTTAAAAAAGATTTTGGTTTTGCCCTGACCTCTTGGAAGCTCAAAATTAAATGCTGGGCTCATATGCAATAGTATTTATCATCTAGTATTTCTTGATTCACTTGTTTAATCCTGCTAGCCTTCATTCTCTGCTTTATTTTTCTATGTCTTTCCTTCACTTAAAACACTTCAAAAGTACTCCTCCCCAGGGCTGGGAGTAGAGAGAAGCAAGCAAGGCACGTGGCTCTCTCTCAAGTTTCTGCAGGTGCAGGGCTGGTACCTCAGCCTGAGTGTCACCTTATGCTTTGCATCCAGGACACCTCCCTTGCCTCGCCCTCATCTTAGCCCCACTCCCATCACGTGTTAGCAGCCAGAGCTGTGGGGCCCAAAGGTCTGCCCCTCCTTCCATCTCTAGCTTTGTCTTCAGCCATTCCCAGCAAACATCTTTATTCTCTCGTCCATACCAGTGCTTCTCAAACTTGAGGGTGCTTGAGAGTCACCTTGAGGACTT